ATCCTTAACTCTGTCACTTTCTCTGTGACCTTGCCCCATATCATCAAGTTTCCTGGAGCCTCAGTTTCCTCTGTCTATAGAATGGGGGTGCTGGGAGGGTTCACTAGGGCCGAGCACAGCCTGAGAAACTCAGCCAGTGGCTGGACACGCAAGTGCTTGGTGAAGAGATTCAGACGGACAGAGTACACGGATCACTTTTTCATGCCACTGGCATTAAGGAGGGCCTACTACGTGCCCGGCATCGCACCAGGCCCTGCAGCCACACCAGCAACTCATTAAATGATTCAAATGCATGATGTTCTTCAGGAAGTTACACAAAGAGAAGAATGTATGGGGACCCCAAATAGGTAAATTCCTATTTGGGAAGAAACTCAAAGCCCCACTAAGGGCAGACAGTGAGGTGTCACTGAATGAGCACTGGACTAGGAGTCCAGGCCCCTGTACCTGCCTGCACAGTAGGCACACCAACCTCTTGTCCGCCACCACCATATGGGGGAGGCGCAGGAGTGTCCCATGTCAGGCCATCAGGAAGGCATCTGAGCACGATGGAATGGGGTGGGCAAGAACCAGGGACATTAGTACAGAGGTGTAGGGTCGAACTCTAGCGACACCTGGACACATGCCTACGAGGAGGGAGTGTGCAGAACAACCGAAGTTCCTCTTATCAAGGAGCTTGATGAGTTAATAAGTTTTCACCAACGCCCCAGGTTGTGCACCTCAGCCCCTTGGGTGGGGTATCGGCACTGGGTGATACCAGCCGTGTCTGATTGTTGTTGGCTCGTCTCATTCACTCTCCCTGTGTCCCACTCATGAACCCATCCTACCTCTTGCAGTCCCCTCCTTTTCCCTTCATCATGTCTCCATCTTCTGTGGTGAGGTTTTTGGACCATGATACTCCAACCTTCACCAGTTAAATTGTTGCAGTTGGCCCTGAGAGAATGCAGGAAATGAGAGTGGCACCCGCCGCCTGGCCCACTCCCTGCCCAGCTCTGCAGACGTGGCTGCTCACATGCGAGGAGGACAGGTCCAGGGCTGGGGCAGTCACCTTGGGCAGGAGATGCTCTTGACAAGCAGCATGTCGGTGTCCCAGCAGCAGGGAGATGCGCCGTGCTACGCTTCCGTTGTTCCTTGTAGCCTGGTGGGGCTTCCAGGGCCTGTTTACATCCAGATTCCTGTGCCATGGGTCTCGTGGAGACCCTTCAAGAGGCCCGGAGGTCAGGAGCTTAGCAATGAGAGTCAGGAGACCCATGTTCTAGATCCAGCCCCACCTCTTGCTTGGATGTGCTTGGCAAGTTCCTCACACCGAGTCAGCGTCCTCATCTGAAAAGTAGAAACACATAGCTCCATGTGCGCCAGAGTGAGCATGGGGGGCCAGTGGGACACGGGGACCAAGTCTTTGGCGAGTCTCTGGCACACATCGTTTTTCAGTGTGCAGTCCCTATCTATCTCCAGGCATCTGGCTGTGCCAACTTCTGCTCAGGACTGTGCAGAGCCACCTGGGAACTCAGGCTCCTCAGGGTGGCCCAATGATTTTTATGCTTTCCCCAGAATTGTCCATCAGATTGTATTTATTTGCTCATTAAGCTATGAGGAGTTGCCTGCCTTGTGCATGTACAGGGCTTGAGGACGTCAGTTATAGTCTAGGGAGGAAGAAAAGAACCAGACCTACTAGGGTGCCAGGAGAGCCAGGCTAGCCCTGAGAATGCCCCAGAGTAGAAATCAGAAGACCCAAGTTCAGTCCCAGCTCTTACCCAGCCACTTCCCTCCCTGGGCCTCAGTGTCCTCTTCTGCCAGATGGGGGTGATGGTATACTTTCCCTGCTTCCCAAACAGGACTGATGGAAAGAGGGGGACTCTGGTGGCTGTCCCATTTTGTCCAAGGGACAGTGTTGACAGAGGTCAGGATCTGGGATGGTACAGGCTCATAGCCTGCAGCCCCAGTTCCACCTCTGGAAAGCAGGCCTGAATCACCATGGTAGAAGTAAGGCAAATGGGTAACTGCAACCTGGATACACATTCTCCTGCCTCTGCCTGGCCCAGGTCTGCTTGGGGAGATCCCAAGGCAGTGGGTTTGGTTTATAGAGACTTGGGAGCCCAGGCAGATCAAATGTGACCCTGTGGCCTCCGTTTCCCTGTCTGTACAGTGGAGATGATAGCACCCTCCTACATGGGTTAGTGCTTCTTTGGTTGCAAATAACAGAAACCAGCCCCAGTCTGTGAGTAGCCTCATGGATTCTGCAGGCAGAGTGCTGCCAGGGCCCAGGTGTAATGGCCCCCAGGGTCTCCAGTGCTGTCCAGGCGCCCTCCTGCCCCACTCTGCTTCCCTCTGTACAGCACTTCCTGCTCTCATAACAGAAACCAGCCCCAGTCTGTGAGTAGCCTCATGGATTCTGCAGGCAGAGTGCTGCCAAGGCCCAGGTGTAATGGCCCCCAGGGTCTCCAGTGCTGTCCAGGCGCCCTCCTGCCCCACTCTGCTTCCCTCTGTACAGCACTTCCTGCTCTTACTCCCCAGAGACCCACTTTCTCAGTGTGTCTGGTCACATGGTGGCCCACGGCTGCCAGCAGCTCCCAGGTTCACAGGTCACAGTCCAGGATGCCTAGAAACAGTGGGGTATCCCCTCTATGTCTGTTGTCTCTCTCCTCTCTCTGCCTCCCTCTGTGAGCCCCCTCTCAAATCTCCCTGTCAGGCACCCGCCCAAAACCAATCAACAGTGGCTGAGAATAAAACCAGTGTCCAGGTCACTCCCTTGCAGGGTGGTGTAAAGCTTCAGGACACAACGTGCCTCATCAGCAATATGCAGGAGCCAGAGTTACCTCTCAGCCAACGAGGGCAGGAAGGAGCCACGGTGTCCACCTGTGCCCTCTCTCCCCCCCCACCTACCTACCGGGGCACTTGGGCAAAGCGCCTCCCTGCAGCGCAACCATCCGCCCTCCTGCCTGTAACGTGGAAGAAAGCTCCACTCGCCCCTCCTGCGGTTCCGCTCTGCTTCTTCCCCAACAGATGATAACAGACATGCAGCATATGGGCCCCAAAGTCACCGGCGTTCTGGGAAAGTGACACTGCGGTACCCCGGGCTTAGGGGGAGGGCCTGGCTCCCAAGCACAGCTTCTCCTTTGTTCTTCAGAAGGGCACTGGGTCCGTCCCTCCCGGGGCTCCTGAAAAAGACTTCAGGAGGGATTTCCTCTACCTAGATAGCAATTTAGGAAAGCAGGTGGAGGGTGGGCATATACGAGGGGTCTTCAAAAAGTTCACAGGAAGGTCTTTATTATCTTTTCAGTCCATATTTCCATGCACTTTTTGAAGTACTCTGGTAGGAGAACATGGAAGCCAGGTAGAGTCCCTCTTGGCTTCCAACTCCCTTCCCTGTGGCCCCTGCTCCCTTGGGGGTCCTGCAAGTGGGTCAGGACTCGCACTGAATGCCATGAGCATATCACAGGAGGCACTCGGCTGGGCTCCAGGCCTGCCTCTACCGGGGCCTCAGTGAGTCCCTGCCCTGGGTGGGTGCCTTGACACCTTCTAAGATGGGTTTCCTCCCTCCCTGTACCCCTGACAGTGTTCTGTGTGCCTCTGAGCTAGACCCGTGCAGCGTGCTCCTGGGGTGGTCATCCTTACCTGAATTGGGAAGGCCAGGTGAGGGAACACAGCGTCAGCCCAGGCTAAGGAAGCCTGGGCATTCTTCCTGCCTGTCCCCAGAGACATCTAAGATCTGCCCTGTGGCCATGCCGCCTCCTTTCCCTGTCCCACCTGGTCCATGACAGCTGAGGTCCAGAGACACTGAGGTCAGCGCACCAGGGCCCACCTCCCTCCTGGCCATGATGGAAAACGAATGTGATGAGCCCATCACAAGGCAGCGTGGAGCTTCGAGCAGTTTCCCGGGGACTGGTTGTCTCCCAGGGATGCAGATCAAGGCTGGGGTATATTGGGAAAGCAGCCCAGGCCAGCGGAGACGGAGGGGGAGCCCAGGAGGGGGAGCCCAGGAGGGGGTCAGAAAGCCAAGGGAGCAGGGAATCTGCAGCTGGAAGGTGGGGGAGGCAGCAGGGGGCCTTCGTCTACCTCATTCTCTCTGCCGAGTCTCACCTCTCACCGTTTTCCATGTAGGCTACAAAGTTTTGGTGAGGGAGGAAGCCGCCAGGTGCAGGTTCGTTAGCCAAGAAGCCACCTGGGAGAGGGAGGGGGAAATGCTTTTCAGTTTTCCTCTCACCTTTGACTTGTGGCCATGGCAACCCTATGGGTGTCCCTGCTTTTTTCTGACCTTCCCCGAGAACTCCCCGGAGGCCATAAGATTGTGCGTGTAAATCTTGGTGCTTCAGGACAGTAGAGGAGGGGAATGGCTATATATAACCTGGCCTGCCTGTGGGCTAAGTAGGTCAGCACCAGAGACAGGCCACGCGGAGACAGTACTAGCCTCCACGGTCCAGCCCCAAGCCCACACTCCTCACCAGGAGCCAGAGTGATCTGCACATACCAGCACGTTCCTCCCCCTCTTCGTTCCCCTGACACGTTTTGCCATCCCTCCAATTGCAGATTGTGATTTATCTACAGGAGAGATGTAGACAAAGGAGAAAGCTAAAAGGGATTGACATAGCCCTGACAAGATGATTCTTTGGTCTCTGGGCAGCTACTGGCCCAGCAAGGTGCCAAGCCTTGGCCGACGAGCTACTTGGCTGCTACTGGGCTGAGGAAGGGCAGGCAGAATGGAGTTCTCAGGCCTCGCCCTGATGGCGCTGTTGGGCTTGCTGGAGCTGCAGGAAGAGGTACAGAGGTGTGCCCACGAATGCTGCAGATGGCCGGTGCTGGTTCTGCCAGCTGACTAGGGGTATGCCACTGCTCTGTCTTGGCCTCAGTTATCTCAGCTGTGAAATGGGATGACAGCTGCCCTCCTGATCCACAGGGTTACTGGGAAAAAGAAATCTGATCCAAGCTGAGAAGGGGCCTTGGAAAGTGTAACTATGTGCAAAGTCTGGGGAATGCCTTTCACAGCCTACTCCTCTTTCCCACAGGGCCACCCGTTCATCATGCAGTTCAATGACGGAAACGCCACCGTGGTGTCCATGTGGGTGTGCAGGACGCTGGAGGAGCGTCGGAGTCAGCAGGGGCCCCCATGAGGCCTCAGCGGGGTGCTGCAAGCCCAGGACTGCTCACCAAGGGGAATGGCCCCCTGTTGCCCATCTCTGCGTTTGCTACCTGCACCAGAAGAGCTTTGCTGGCCCGGGCTTCCCTGCTCCTGCCTTTGATTCAGTGGCAGATGGCCTTGCCTAGGGACCTGCAAGGGTGGCCAGCCCCTGATGGGCAATCCCTCACCCCCTCTGGTCTGGAAGCACTGACTCCGGCAGTGGGGGAAAGGGGTGGGGCAGTGAGAATGGAGGCTCTTGTGGCCCCTGCCCCTGTTCTGTTTTCCTATCATTTCTGTTTAAAGGGTCAGGCCCTGTCAGCATACTGATGGGAATAAAAGTATTACTGCTTTGTGACTGCCTCCCCCGTGAGAGTTGTATCTGTCCCCCACCCAGGGCTGGGGCAGGCAGGAGTCTCCACCTGGGCAGGGATGTGCGCGACAGTGCCTGCCACCTGTGCCCAGGTAACACAAGTGCCGCGAGTGCTCCCCACAGCTCTGTGACAAGGCCTGCAGCCTAGCCCATTTGACAGATGAGAAACTAAGATACAGAGATACCCGAACCAAGTTCCATGGCAAGGAATAGTCAAGCCAGGACTAGAGTCTGGATCTCAGGCCCCTTCGTGGGCCCCTTACTGGACTGGAGTTTGCCCCCACAAGTGCGAGGCCACAGTCCCAGCAGCAACACCAGCTCTAACACGCTCATCTGACCTGCGGTGGCAAGGACGGAGCAGGAGACCAAGAGTTGGAAAAAGGGCCCGGGCAATTCTGAGAGGCCCTTCTACCCACCAGCCCCAAGCCTTGCCACTGCTTCCTCAGCACTGAAAGCTGCCTCCCAATGCCCTAGACCCCCACCCCCAAACCTCTCTCACCTTGGGTGATCCTCTCCACCACCTTCCAGGTAAGTGTGGCTGCCCCCATTTTACAGGTGAGGAACTGAGGCTGCCAGAGGCTCAAGTGTCCACTCGGAGGTCTAAGTGACATCTCAGCGTGTCCAAAAGCAAAATCCTGAGCCCCCCATGCACATCCAGAATCTCCTCCCACTGCTTTCCTGTCTCAGTAACTGGCATCTTCATCCTCCCAGTGCTTGAGCCACATGCTGGGACCCAGCCCTGACTCCTTTTTTCCCTCACACCCCACACTCCACACCCAGCCCGCCAGGAAGTCCTGTAGTCTTTGCCTTCAGAGTACACTGGCTCCACCACTTCCCATGCTGGTCCAAGCCTCCATGGGTCTCTGGCCTGTACCACTGCTGCAGCTCCTGCCAGGCTCCTGCTCCCACTGCTGCCCCTGCCCTCAGCTCTCCACACAGCAGCAGTGGGGAGCCTGTTAAAACAGAAAGAGGATCGGTCCCTCCCCTGCTGAGAACCCTCAGGAGTTACCTTGGAGGACAGGCCAAAGGCCCAACAATGGCCTGTGTGACCCTATACAGTCTGCCCCCATTAACTCTGACTTCAACTCCTATCGTCCCCCACCCCCATTCTCCCTTTACTTCAGCCAGATGGCCTCCTTGCTGCTCCTTGCCCATCCAGCACACTCCCACCTCAGGGCCATGCAGACAACTACCACCAGAGGTTCACACTCCCCCCCCAGTGCAGAGCTGGTGCATTTAACGGGCCACGTGACTAGTTCTTCTAAGTGGAACAAGAGCAGATGGCCAAGAAGTTCAAGATGCAGATGTGTCTTGTCTATTACCCCTTTCTCCATCCTCCTGCTAAAAAAAAAAAAAAAAAAAAAAAAAAATGACTGTGGTGGAAGGTGGGGAAAGCTGAGCCACAAGTGGAAGGAACTTGAATCCCTGAATCACCACATGGAGGAACATGCCACCCCCCCAGGAACACCTGCAACAGACTCTTAAATGGTCTAGGACAAAACTGTTATGTTTGGGTTTTATATGTTACTGGCAGCTAGTACTGTACCAACTAACGTAGGCCTTTGCACTTGGTGCCTGGAGCACCCTTCCCTGTGGGTGCACATGGCATACTTCTACACCCTGCAGACCTTGGCTCAGATGGCATCTCACTGAGACCTCCCTAACCACTCTAAAACTGCAGCCCTCCCACTCCTATTCCCAGAACTCATGCTCCCTCGCCTGCACCAGTTTCCTGCATTGCATTTGTAACAGGGTGACAAACCACTTATTTTACTTATTTTATCTTCTGTCTCCTACCTTCCCCATCCTCTGTTAGAATGGAAGCTCCACAAGGGCAGAGATTCAGGTCTGTTTTTTTCACACCATATCCCCAGTGTCAAGAACAGAGGCTGGCCTGGTAGATGCCCAGTAAATGTTTGTTAGCTGACTGGCTGGAGTGGTGGAGCTATGATTCCCAGCCCATATTCAGTCTGGTGCTGCATGAAAAGGCCACCCTTGTGTGAGGCATCATTTAGTTTTCCAGGCCAGAGTTGAGGTCATCATATTTATGGTAACACCTTTCAAGGTACAGGCCTCCCAGCTGCCCCTGGGCCTCAAGCAGAGCATCTGTCTCACTGAGCACCTGCCATTTCCCTGGGGCTAGGAAGGTCACAGAATTGGATAAGGCCCAAGTCATGAAGACTGGGCTTCCTGGGCCAGTGCTCAGGGCAGGTAGAGCTGCAGGCAGCACATGTGTGGACTTTCTCAGGAAGAGGTACTCAGGGAGTGGGAACAGTTTGGGGGCTCCCCAGACAGGCCTGTACCCCAGAACATGAACCGGCCACCACCCAGACTTAAAGCTTATCCCCGTTTTGAGAAGACACACCCAGCAAGCCTGTCATAGCCAAATCCCAAGTCAGGGAAGGCAGGAAAATTAAGCAAGCATCGCATGCCAGGCACTGCGCTTAGGGTTTACTCTATCAACTCGTTGAATCTCCGACACAATCCCGTGAGGTAGGTAGGGGGTATTATTATTATTATGCCCATTTTACAGATGGGGAAACTGAAGCACAGAGAGGTCACCCAATTAGTGAGTAGCAAAGCACTGTGTGGCACTCAGAGCCCCACTCTTAACCATGGCTCCAGAAGTCAGCTCCGCACGCACGAGCACATACACATGCACGTGTGCACACACACACCCCACCCTCTAGCACAGAGGTTCCTAATCTCTGGGGTGCAAAGATGGCCTATCAGTATCTTGGGAGTAGGGCCCAGGGATCTGCTCTTTGGCCAGTTCCCCAGGGATACAGGTGCAGAGGGTCCCCCAATGGCACTGAGAAACACTGCTGTAGATGGAATGTTGAGGCCCTGGCCCTGGAGACCAGCTTCCAGGGTGACCTCAGACAAAGCTTGCCTCCTACCTGAGCCTCAGTTTCCTCATTTGTCAATGCAGGGATTGGTCTCCCTGAGTCCTGTAGCTCCTCCCAGCCCTGATGTTCCAGAGCACGTTCTCACCATTTGGGACCATAGACCCTTGTGAGCATCCCCAGAATAAAGTGCACTACCTGCGTGTGAGCACGCAGTTTTGTTTACAGCTTTAGGGTTCGTGGATCCCCTGGTGCCCTTGCCCTCAGAGGTCATGGGAGAGAGGTTCTGAGACCCAGAACAGCGGGGCAGGAAGGAGCTCTTCCCTCTGCCTGGAGAATGCCTCTCCACTCCCACCCTCACCCTGTCCACATGGTTAATTCCTGTTCTTCCTTTCAGGTGGGCCCCTGTCAAATGGCACCTCCTCTGAGCAGTTTCTTCATTCCCTTCTCTGGGTATGGACTGTGAACCCCTCAAGGGCAGGGATGAGTCTGACTCAACTCTAACCCCAGGACCCGGCCCAGGATCAGCACGGAGAAGGTGCTCTGAGGCATAGGAGGGCCGGAGGGAGGGATGGAGGGTTGGGGGCCTCAGACCTGAGGCCCTTAGGACAGCCCCCCCTCCCAGCCCCAGGGCTTGTCACTGTCCTGCTCTAGTCTCTTGCTCCAATCTTCAGTGCCACTCACTCATCTTCTAACCAGAGCTTCCTGGACACAAAGGCCATTGGATGCAGCCTCGGGCCTCTCAGACCTTCGGAGAAACCTGGAAGGGAGCGTTTCTAAGATAGGAGGGTCCTTACGGGGACTCCAGGTCACACTGAGACAGGGGTGCCTCTCTTCCTGATTTTGCCTTTGGTTTTCCCATGTGGGAAACACAGGATACAGCATCCCAGGGCTTTGGAGATCTTCCAAGAAGGCAATGGGGATAGAGGGAGGGAAGGTTGCACCCTTGTTCCCCAGGTGTGGTTAGATTCAGGCCTTGTGGTCCAAAGCAGTGTTACCAAGAACCCCCAACCTGAGGCCCAGCCCAGTTGGGGGTGGTCAGGCCAGTGCAAATCGGGCTGAATAGTATAGCCTGGCTGAGGGAAGCTGAGGGTGCCCTGCCTGAAGGCCAAGCATGGGGAGCCTGTGCTTGAGCTGAATAGACCCACATCTTTTGGGGAGGCACATGCTTCCAGATCTCCTCACACTCAGGGCTGAAGGCAGAGTATAACCTCAGGGTGAAGCCTCCAGATGATACTGAGCCACAGGCTGGCAGCTCCTCCAGACTCTCTCCATCACTCGGGGGTGGTCAGAAGGGGGTGGACAGCTGCCTCCACACAGAGAGGGCCATGATGCTGCCTCAAAGATGTCTTCCCTCCCCATTGACCACTGCCCAGATTTCTCACAGGAGCATCATCCTTTAGCTAAGGCAGGTCCCTATTAGAATAGGAGCCTGTGCGCTTAGTCACACAGATGCCAGTGAGAAAGAAGGGTGTGGAGGGAGGATGGGAGGACACGCCCATGTCCTGGGTGGGGGAGGGAGGCAGTGCCAGGCAGGCCTGCAGAAGTGCATGGAGCAATGGGAGCAGGACAGCGAGGAGGAAGCCAGCACTGACAGCTTGCAGCAGCCAGGCAGTGTCCTGACTCCGTTCTTGGGGCTAGGTGGACCCCCAAGATGACCTGGACCAGGTCCCCCCTTCAACACTGAGGGAATTGGGTATTTTCACTTCATGCAGCTGGAAACAGTTCTGGGCAGCCACAGAGACTGGGGCTGGTGGGAGGCATGGAAGAGGGGGGAAACTGAGGCCAGCTTGCCCTCTGGGGTGCTGTAGTGAAGGGCAATAGGTGTGGTGACATGGGATCAGGAGCCAGGAGGTGAGGAAGGGGCCTGCGGGGAACCCAGGTAGGTGGAAGCGGCCTGAGCCTGGTCCCTTGTGGGCACTGGCTGCTAGCGAGGAAGTGGGCTAAGGTCAGCTGGCCCTCCGTGGCAGGTCTGGGTTGCAATGGCACTTGCTGGCTTTGTCATGACTCCATTCTGCCTTGGCAGAAATTGTGTTCCTGATGCATCAGAGACACCCATAAACTAGGGGGCAGGTAGGGCTGGCAGGGGTGAGGCCTCTCAGGAGGAGGCCAGGTAGAGTCCCAGAGACAGTCTGGGCTGGCTC